TTATTCATTCATTGATAGATGTTTTGATTGTTTCCACTTTTTGTCTATTCCGAATAATGGTATTATGAATACTCATGTGAAAGGTTTTGTGTAAAGAAATGTTTTCATTTCATTTGAGTCTGTGTTTGTGAATAGAAATGCTGGATCTGATGATAACCTCTTGAGAAACTTCCAGACTATTTTTCCAAACCCCACCAGTAGTGTATGAGGATCCCAATTTCTCCATATCCTCATCAAGACTCATTATTTTTTCTACTTAAAAAATTGTTTTTGGGGGGCTGGGGTTGTAGCTCAGCGGTAGAGCGCTCGCCTAGCACGTGTGAGGCCTTGGGTTCGATCCTCAGCACCACATACAAATAAATCAATTAAGGGGCTGGGGCTGTGGCTCGGTGGTAGCGTACTTGCCTGGCATGTGTGAGGCACTGAGTTCGATTCTCAGCACCGTGTATAAATAAATAAAATAAAGGTCCATCAACAACTTAATAAATAAATAAATTGAATAAAGGTATTTTTTAGGTATAGTGTATATCATTACACCTAAAAAAATATGTAAAATATTTGTTTTTGGAATCTTAATAGGTGTGAAGTGGTAACTCATTGTGATTTTGACTTGCATTTCCTTGATGACTAGTGATATTGAACATCCTTTCCCATGCTTATTGGCCATTTGTACATCTTCTTCAGGGTTTAAACTGACCTCTTTTTTGTATTTTTGTTGTTTTCTTGAGATGGGCTCTTGCAGTGTTGCCCAGTCTGGTCTCATACTCACAAGCTCAGGGGATACTTTTGCCTCAACCTACAGAGTAGTTGGGGCTATAGGCATGTGCCACCAAGTTGAGCTTAATCTGCTTTTCTTTCAGCTAAGTTAAAAAAAAAAAAAACTCATGTAAGATGAACTAAGTTTCCAGCTGCTTAGTAGATAGACTTTTAGCTCCCCTGATCATCCTCCTTTCTATCACTTCTTCTTTCATTTTTTTCCCCAGTTCTAGCCATTGAACTGAGGGGTGCTTTACCACTAAACTACATTCTCAGTACCTTTTATTTCAAAATTACCTAAGCTGGCCTCAAACTTGTGATCCCCCTGCTTCAGCCTCCTGAGTTGCTGGAATTATAGGCATGCACCACTGTGACCAAATCTTCTTTGTCACTTCTGAGATAAAGTAATGGGCTGACACAGTTGTCATGGGACTTGCCTCTGGCCGTGTGCTCTGCAGTGAGTTGATAAACCATCCCAAATCAGTCACCCAGCAATTCCATTCAATCAGTTAGATTCAGAGTTCCTGCTGGACTGGTTGGATGCCTTTCAACCTGGCCCTTGGTCCTTCACTCATTTGTCAGTCAAAGAATGTAATACAATTTTCCTCCTGCGGCTAGTCAGCAGGAGATGTTGATGAGGGCAACTGTGGGCTAGAAGTTAGAAAGCAAGAGAGGCCTGTTGTACCATCATTACAACTTTGGTTGGCTGCACTTGGAGCTGGCAGGAATAGGAACAGTGTTTTCTGTGAGAGGTAATACTAGCAATTCTTGTCCATCAAGTCCTGTGATTTTGTTTATTGGCTTGGTAGAAAGCATTCAGAACACTGAGGGGGAAAAAAAAAGTTTGGAATATGGAGAGGAAGTAAGGAAAGTCCTGAAAAAGTGAGTAATGAATGGGCCCTACTGGGGAAAGCTTAGCGGGGTAGAGGTGGCTTAAAGGTACTTGGGCACAGCTTAAGGGAGACAGAGTATACAGCGGTGTTGTGGACATTGTAGAGTTCATTTATTTCTTACTCGCCCAGACTTCAGACTACCACAAGTGTTGTCACATGATCCCTTGCCAACTCAACAGAAGGAAGGATAGGAAGAAGCTTCCCTTGGAGCCATGGCACTTGTGAGATTGATGCATTAATAGTAGGCAGAGTCTTCACTGAGTTTCCTCAATATAGAAGTTGAGGTTGAAGCAGCCTGAGGCTAGCTGATAAGCATACTTTAAGAATTTTCCTTGGGGCTGAATTCCACTAAAGCAATACTGCAGGAACTTTGGGGTTACCCAACATCCTCCTAAAACAGATAACTAGCTTTTCAGTTTGTCAGTAGTTGTTTTCTTTCTCTTACAGACTGCAGGAAAACTTTCCCAACAAGTAAAACTTCTGAACTGTAACAGTGACAATTGATGGAAAGCTTACCATTTTCCAAAGGTCTCCAATTTTCACAGGAATTCTCTAGTTTGCTTTCCCTCTCTATATTGATATTTTTGAAACCCTTAAGGAAAAGCTATCTGAACACCAGATATCAGTATACACCCTTTAGTTGACACACTAGTGAATAATGGCACCGGAATTGGGATCTTACCACTTCTCTTTTGAAATGGGAATTCACAGTGTGTCTCTCCAAACAAAACTTTGGCTACCTCAAACAAAATTTTATTTATTTATTTATTTTTCACGTAGGAAAATATACTTATGGCTACAATTCTATGGTTTGAAGAAGAAATCAAGTTGTGGGTTACAATGGACCGAATGTTTGTGCCCACCCCCACAACTCCTTTGCTAAGATCTTAACCCCTCAAGTGATAGGAGGTGGGGCATTGGGGATATAATTAGATCATGTAGGTGGAACCCTCCTGTTTGGGATTAGTGCCTTATAAAAAGGTGTAGAGAGAGCTAGCTCACCCAGTTTTCTAACACGTGAGGATATAATCTGAAGGCTCAAGAGAAGAAAGATGGAAGAGTGGATCACCTTCTCTAGTCTGCATCCCAGAAGAAGACCCACATCAAAACCCAAACATACTGGCCCCCTGATCTAAGACTTCTAAACTATAGAAATATGAGAAGTCATTTTCTGTTGTTTATAAGCTATTCAGTCTATGGTACTTGGAAGAGCAGTCCAGATTAAATTGACTAAGACATGGGCAATAAAATATTAGACTTACCTAAAACTTGAATCATTCATATATATATGAAATATATATATATATATATATATATATATATATATATATTCTAGTGATGTTGAACATCCTTTCCCATGCTGATTGGTCATTTGTACATCTTCTTCAGAGCAATGTGTTTAAACTGTCCTCAAATATATATTAGCTGTCAATGGACCTTTATTTTATTTATTTATATGGGGTGCTATTGAATCTTGTAATTATTCTTCTGGCATTGCACATAATTCTTTGGTTTAATGACCTATAATGGAATTTTTAAATGAGGAGGACATTTAGTCCAAAGAAAAAATTTACTGTACTCCTAACATATACCAGATATTTTTCTAAGTTTTTTACTGGGATATAGGAATAAAAAAACAAAGGCCCATGTGAAGCTAAATGTTAGGAAATCAGCTGAACTGGGAGAGGGAGACCTGTCAGAGTAGGTGATGAAAGCAATAAATCAAAAAGGCAAGGGTGAGCCTCTTCTTGAAAAGAGATCTAATCACTCAATCACATAGGCAATAGTCTGAAGGTGGAGAAAGTACCAGCTCCCAGATTCATTTCCCAAGAGTCAGATGGATGGCACAGTGGACAAGGTCAGCGGGATCAGCACTGGTGCAGTAGTCTCGGGCAAAAGGTTCTGGCAGTTTTATGAATCCCAAGATGAGAAAGAGGGGGAAGAAGAGCTCAGGGTGGAAAATTGTGAATATTGGTTCATAGGGAGGACCAGCATCTTTGAATTTCCTCCTCCTACCACAGAAGGTCTCAGCAGAGCTATTGAAAAAGGACATCTGCCCCATAGATAGAAACCTGGGAAGAAAGGCAGCAGTTCTTGGAATGTAACCATGTGAAGAGCACAAGCAGTTGCGGGGGGGGGGGGGGGGGGGTGTGCTGAATTCTTAAGGGCATCAACTCTGGGGTAGGGAGGGCAGTGTCTCTTGTGAGAACTGCCAGATAAAGCCTTATAATTGTCTTTGGTCAGATCTGAAAGATAAGACCCAGGCAGACTCCTCCCTTAAATTCTGCACAATAAGTATATAAGTAAAATATATGCTATGTTATCAGTACATGATAACAAGCAAGAAAACAAACAAATAAAGCAAGGAAGGAGGGTAGACAGAAAAGATATGAGAATTTGACTGTGGGGTGCTACAGAAATTGTAGTCAAAGGTAGGTGAAGGAGGCCCCACCAGAAGAGTGGCACTTGGTGACACATCTCAGGAACTGAACATTGCAGATGTTCAGGAGAAGCACAGGTGATGCAGAAGGTACCAAGGCACAGACTGCCCAGGGTGGAGGCATGTGCCTGTGTAGGAGGAAGCCTGCATGTCTGGAATGTAGTGACCAAAGGGGGAGGGGAAGGAGATGAGGTCATGCAGACAGGAAATGAGATCATGGAGACAGAATCAGGAGACCTCAGGTTCTGCAGGGCCTTGTAGCCCCTGAGGATTTCAAAGAGATGGAAGACAGGATCTGACTCTTGCTGTCTTCTTGAGAAGAGATTTAAGAGAGGGGATGGGGGCATGGTAAGTGCAGAGGCAGGAGAGCCATTAAGGAAGCTCCTGTAATAATCCAGGAAAGAAATGCTGTTGGCATGGACCTGGATGGAAGGACTGGAATTAGGGAGCAGTGATTGGACTTTGGGTACATTTTTAATGTATGCTCCCCTTTCACACATTCTAAACATACCTTTCACACCTTCACATTTTGAAATATATCTGAAGTCAGGATGTACTTTTTATTGGGGTGGCATGTTATGATTGCTGTGGTGGTGATCATGATATAGTTGTTCAGTTAGGGGAAAACTGTCAAGTGGGGCACAGTGACACACACTTGTAATTCCAGCTACTCTGGAAGCTGAGGGAACTGAATCACCTGAGCTCAGGTTCAGGAATTTAAGGCTATCTGGGACTACACAGCAAGACCCTGACCAGGGCAAAAAAAGAAAAGAAAAGAAAATTTTCTATTAATATTATATGATAATTGCCAGCATCAATCTAAAACTATAGATATGTTGTGACAAAGTCAAATGTTATGTATTTCAGAGTTTAATATCTTTGTTCAGATACACATCATAAATGTGGCATCTCTGCTTACTTTCACTGACAATACAGTTGGTCCTCCACATGCATGAGTTCCATGTCCTCCAATTCAACCATCTGTGGATCAGAAATATTAAAAAAAAATTGTACTGAACACATGCAGATTTATTTTCTCATCATTATTCTCTAAACAATACAGTACAACGACTACTTAATAGCATTTACATTATATTAGATATTTTAAGTAATTTAGAGATGATTTAAAGAATACAGGAGGATGTACACAGGGTATATGCAAATTCTATACCATTTTATATAAAGGATTTGAATATTTGCAGATTTGAATATGGGAGAGGTCCTAGAACCAATCCTACTCAGATACTAAAGAACAACTGTAGTAGTTTCGTTAGTTCCAAATCTCCCAGTGATACCATCTGGTAATTACCAGCATCAGTCCATGGTTATAGATAGATGGTGACAAATTCTGATTTTATGTAACTAAAATTCAAATTTTAATATCATTGCTCAGCAACACATCATACATGTGGCTTCTTTACTTATTTCATGAAAAAAGTACCTCATTTTTGGCCTTCATTCTTCATGCCTGGACATTGACTTTCTCTAGGTTTCTCCAAGTGTCTAGTCTTTTGCCTTCACTTCATAATCTGATTCAGAGTTATCTTCCTGGACCAAAGTTGGCCATGTGGCTTGGTGTGTGTATAAGTCTCTGATGCTGCATGGTAGCTATAGAATTCATTCCAAATTTCACCCCTTCATAAAGATTCCTATAATTTGCCTTCTTCCTATTTCTCCAATTTTACTTCCCACTTCTTTCTGTATAAGTTGCACTAAAATTCTCAGTTTCTGTCAGACTAGGATCTTCTTTATACACCTTTTTCCCAACATAAGCTCATCCTTCAAGTTTCCTTTTGGGAAACTTTTTGATCTTCCAAGGAGATATAATTATTCATTTCACAAAACACGGAAATAAAATTTAGCTATTTGTCTTCTCTCCTCCAGGGAGATGTGAACCGGAAACCTTGTTCATTTTTGCATCCCCCAAGCATAGTAGTATATTTGGTACAGAAAATGTATGCAATATTTGTAAAGAATCCATTTTTATTAAATAAATTAAATTATTTAAATTAAATTGGATTTGATGACCACAGTTTCTTCTCTGACAAAATGTAGATGATAATAGCTTCTACCTTATAAAGGTGTTTTAGATATTTTGAAGATTACTTAAAATAATGCACACAAAGCTGGGTATAGTGGCACACACCTGTAAATTCCAGCTACTCAGGAGGCTGAGGTAGGAGGATCACAAATTCAAGCTCAGCCTGAACAGCTTAATGAGAGCATGTCTCAAAATAAAGTTTAAAAGGGCTGAGGACAGGGTTGGGGTTGTGGCTCAGCAATAGAGTGCTCACCTCGCACGTGTGAGACCATGGGTTCGATCCTCAGCACCACATAAAAATAAATGAATGAAATAAAGGTATTGTGTCCAACTACAAATAAAAAGTAAATATTTAAAAAAAAGGCTGAGGATATAGCTCATTGATAGAGCACTTTCTTAGTGTGTGAAAGGAAGGCTGTTGGATTAATCCCCAGAACTGCAAAAATTAAATCAGTAAATGAAATATTGCATACAAGCAAGAACAATGTTTAATACATATACGCTCAATAAATATTTGCTCTCTTAAAAATTTATGTAAAACTATAAATAATATTACTATTACTTTTTAATGATCATAATATATTTTAATCCCATCTTAAAGTAAATATATCTATTTTTAAGCCTTAAAATGGTGTCTTCCCTATTACAAAGGTTTTCTAGTGTGTTCAGTGAGAAGGAAAAAGAACAGTGAGAAGAGGAGATAACCCCATTTCATTTTTCTCTTGGTAACAAAGTACTGAGTTCTATGATTATTTGAAGATTCTAAATATAAATCACTGATGACCCAAAAGCTCTTCTCAAATTCAGTTTTTTCTAATAGGCTCTGAGAAAATACTCCCAGGTGTATTAACTTTTGGTGTCATTTTATGTAATTTATGCAACTTTCAGTAGTGTATTGCATTTTATCACATTGACCTTGTAAGAGTTTGTTGATATCTAATCTGTTTTGGTCATGATAAAAGTACTTAATACTTTTTCTAATATTGAGATAAGTCATTTACTGCATTGGTTAAGTCACTAAAATAGACAGCATTGGGTCTCTGTTAATTCTATAATGTATGACTTTAAAAAGATTGTGACACCTTGCTCCATCAATGACTTAGGAATTTTCTGGATTACTACATTGACATTGATGAATGTGATGGTATAAATGTTTGTCTTGTTCAAAACTCATTGAATAAATGTTTGTCTTGAACAAAACTGATTGAAATTTAATTGCCATTATAACAGTATTAAGAGGTGAAACCTTTAAGAGAAGATGAGAGCCCCGCATCTGGTACACACCTGTAATTCCAACAATTCAGGAGGCTGAAGCAGGAGAATCATAAATTCGAGGCCAGCCTGGGTAACATAATAAGACCCTGTCTCAAAATAAAAAGATCCAGGGGTATACTTCAGTGGTATAGCAACTGTGGGTTCAATCCCTAGTGGGGGGGGGGCGGCGGGGAATGATTAGATCATGTCTGTCATGAAGGCTCCGCCCATACCAGCAGGATTTGTGCCCTTATAAAAGGCCAAGTGAGACTCTGTTTGCTCTCTTTCTCTCCTTCTACCGTCTTCTTCATCCTCTGCCCTTCTTTCCCTTTTGCTTTTTATGGTGTGATAAGGAAGCAAGAAAGCCTTGATACTGGGCTTGCCAGACCCCAGAACTGTGAGAAATAAACTTCTGTTCATTATGAATGACCTAGTGCTGTGGTTTGGATATGATTTAAATCCTCAAAGGTTTGTGTGTTGGTCCCAGGTGTGGTGATATGAGAGGTGGTAAAATCGTTAATAGATGGGCCTGGCAGGAAGTAATTTGATTACTGGGGGCATCACCCTAAAAAAAAAATTAATGTTGTTTTGGCAGAATCTCAGTTCTCAAAGGGAGGCCCTCGCATGTGCTTGGGTCCTTCATAGTAACTATAGCATTTATAGTCAATTAGTCAGATATGCATGCAGCCTTTTGACTTTTCCTCCATATTGTGATATAGTCAGGAGGACGCTTACCAGAGACTGAATCGATTGGGTTGTCTGATGTTAGACTTTCAACCATCAAAACTTTGAGCTAAATAAGCCTCCTTTCTTTATAAAGTATTCAGCCTCGGGTATTTTGTTATAGCAGTATAAAATGTATTAAAGCAACTTATTTTAATATGTAATTATTAAATTCCTCTAAGGATGCTAAATGAAATTTTTCTATATATTTACCCTGGTTGATGCAGTATTGTTCTTGATATTTACAATCGCCCCCTTCACTTTCTTTCTTGTTGAGGGCGTTGAGAAACCATAGTTTATTGGGCAAGTGAGAATGTTACATGCATGTATTATTTTTAAATTAACATAATGAAACTGAGGTATAAAGAATATGCAGAGAATTATTCTAGCATGTTTTTAATAATGTCTTCTTCCTTCTCCTCCTTATCGATGACCTCGATTCATGCTTCATGGGAAACATAAGCAAAACAGTACTCTTTCATTTCCCCTGCATGCTGAATCAGGACCCACCCTGTCTATCATCCTGTTAGCATAGGAGGAAGTGCCTCTGCTCCTAGCTGAGGCTGATCCTTGTCCTCTGGATCTCATCCCCTTTTACCTTCTCTAGAATTTCACTTCTGCAAATAGACCCTTTTCTCCCATATTATCTATTAATTTCCTCTCTGGAGGAAATTTTTCCTTTTTTTTTTTTTTTTTAATCAGCAAGCGAAACTTCTCCTGACTTCCCATTCTTGTTCAGCTGCTGCCCAATTCTCCTGCTCCTTCACAGCAAAGTACCTCAAATGAATGACTTTCCCCACGACATCACCTATTTTTCTTTCCTTAATCTATTTCAGGCAAGCTTCTGTCTTCCCCCCTACATCTGAACCCTCTAAAAGGTTTGTCAGTGACCTCCTTGTCACTAAATGCAGTGGCCACTTTTCTGCCTCCATTTTACTCAACACTCCAGCAGTATTTGACCCCCTCAACTCCTGAAATTCTCTTTTCTCTTGAGTTCCATGATATTCCACTTCTTATATCACTGCCCATTCCAGTGACTATAGGCTAGAACTTTCAAACGTGCATATCCAAACCTATCCTTCCCCAGGCTTCCAACCTATGTATCTAAATACTATCTGTCATCTCCACTTGGATATCTTATTTACATCTCATAACTAACTGTATATAATGACCATCTATCATTGTAAACAAATTTACATTTAGAATCCTTCTGCTGTTCAGTCTGCCTGATATTTTCTTCCCCACTCTTTTTCTTTATTCCTGCCTCTCCCCTAAACCAACCCCCATTAGATTAGGTTTCTTGTTGATTTATTTGCATCCAATAATTTTCCCTCAAACAAGAAGGAGGACTTCACAGTTTCCTTCATAGTAACTATCACACTCATAGACAATTAGTCAGATATGTGGTTATCAGTTTAAAGTCACTCTTGCTCTTTTAGTCTCTAAGATCCATGAAGTCAGGGATATGTTCTTTTTTGAATCCTTAGGGTCCAACACATGCCTTGCACACATTAGGACCACTATAAGTATTTTTAGGAGAAAATGTAAATAAACGAATGTTCTACATCACTTTTTTAGAGGGGGAGTACTGGAGATTGAATCCAGGGATGCTCTACCACTAAGCTGGGCCCCCAGCCTTTTTTCTTTTTCTTTTGAAACAGGATCTCACTAAGTTTCCCGGGCTGGCCTTGAACTTGTGATCCTTCTTCCTCAACCTCCAGAGTTGCTGGGATTATGGCGTGTGCCATTATGCCTACCTCTGCATCATTTTTAACAGTTACATAATACTATCATATGGACTTACTGTGAATGAATTAATTCATTCTCTTTTTATATCTAGGTTATTTCCTATTTTTTACTATTATAAACAGTTAATGAGCATACCTATGCTGTATTTGGCTTATATTTTTAGAATAGAAACACTGATTTTGTAGTGAGATACACATTTTTAAGGCTTTTCTTTAGTGTGCTAGTCTCAAAGGTATCCACTGTGAACTCCTCTCCTCCTTGTAAAACAAGCCACTAACCTAGCCAGGCAAGGTGGCATGCACCTGTAGTCCCAGCTACTCAGCAGGCTGAGTGGGACTACCACTTTGATCCCAGTTGTGATATGGTAATATAACAAGAAATAGATATGTGGTCTTGCCCTCAATTCCTGGCACAGAACTCCTAAAATTCTTGGAAATTCCTGAGTTACAGAAGTGAAAGGAACCTCTTTTGTTATCCATAAGAATCCCCTTCCCAACACAACTGAGTTTATATTAATGATTCATGTCCTGGAAAGCCCCTAAGAATGGGGCTTGTGATGAGAGGACTGGGGGACTTTGAGCCCCACCCCTAGTCTCCAGGGAGGGAGGATATAGAGATTGAATTGGGTCACCAATGGCCAATGATTTAATTAATCATACTCTGGCTATGTAATGGAACCTCCATAAAACATGGGGTTTGGAGAGCTTCCAGGTAGATGAACACATGGAGGTGCTGAGAGAGTGACGAACCCAGAGAGAAAAGGAAACTCTGAAGCCCACCCATACCTTGCCCTTAGAATCTCTTCCATCCCAACATTCATATGTATCCTTTAATTTTTTTTTAATCAACCAGTAATACTCAGTAAACTTTTTCTGTGTTTTTGAACCATTCTAGTAAATTTCTGAACCAAGGAAGGGGTTGTGGGAACCTCTGATTTGTAGCCAAGTCAGGCAAAATCTGTGGATAATAAGAGGATCCAGCAGTTGTGATTGGCATCTGAAATTTGACATTGGTGCAGGAAGTCTTATTGGGACTGAGCCATTCACCTGTGGTAGTCAGTGTCAGAACTGAGTTAAATTGTAGGACACTGGGTTGGTGTTCTCCAATAATTGGGGAATTGGTTGGTGTGGAGGAAAAACCCCCACAGCATTGGTGTCAGAAATGCTATGTAAGGAATATAGAAAAATAGTAGTTTTTCCTTTTTTCAATTAAGCTTGAATGCAGTTAAACAGAAAAATGAGACATACCAAAAATGTTGTTGTTATGTTTTCTGAAATTAAATTTAGTGAGGCATCTTGTCTGACTATTTACTGAAACGGGCACCACTAGATATGGTGACGCTCTTTCAGTTCCAGGTTTAACCTTTAAGAGGCCTGGCAGTTTCTCTTTTTGCTCTTGGGAAGTCAACAGCCATGTTATAAAGAACTTTGAGCTGCGACTGCTGGAGTGAAGACAGGGCACCTAGAGAAGCCTCAGAGAAGTCTGGACAGTTCAGCCCCAGCTAGGCTGCCAGAACCAGGAACAGAGGGTCTGACAACATGAATTCAGTAGATTTTAGAATTATCACAGACCACCCCTGGTTGAATGGAGTGTCTGTTATGGTTTTTCTGTGCCTTCCTCACCACTACATGCCTGGTGTGGGGTAAGAGAGTGGACAATTGAGGAGCCAACTCAAAACTTGGTCTTCAAGGCTGGGCATGGCATCTCATGCTCCTAATCCTCGCTACTTGAGAGGCTGAGGCAGGAGGATCGAAAGTTGAAGGCTAGCATGGACAATTTAGTGAGACTGTGTCTTAAAATAAAAAAAAAAATTAAAAAAAGGGTTTGGGGTGTAGGTCAGTGGTACAGCATCCCTGAGTTCAATCCCTAGTACTAAAAAACAGGGGGAAAAAAAGAAAATGGTTTATGGGTGACCAGATCAAAAGAAGCAGTTCCAGAGGAACTTCTTCCACATCTGGACATGACATTGATCATAAATATTGGACTTCAAGCCTGAAACTTTAATGGGACAAGACTGTTCAAATCTTGGGACATATTATTTTGCATGTAGAAAGAATATAAACAATTTCAACCAGAGGGCTGATGATAGTGCACTAAAAAATGGCCACAAATTCTTTACCACTTCTCTAAACAAGAGATGAAATCTGTTTCCACCCCCCTGCACCAGACTGTGACTGGCCTTGTTGTAACTTGCTTGGACAAACAGAGAGAGCGGCAGAAGTAATACAGCATGGCTTTCAGGCGGTAGTGATCTGGAAAACCAGCTCTATGAAAAAAATTTAAAAGCCCTCTGTGTTTGTCAGCTTTATGTTGCTGTGACCCAAATACCTGACAAGAACAACTCAGAGGTGGAAAGATTTATTTTGGCTTAACATTTCAGAGGTTTTCAGTCCATGGTCAGCCTACTCCGTTGCTCTGGGCCCGAAGTGAGGCAGAGCATCACAGAGGAAGGGTGTGGTTGTGAAAAGCTGCTCAGTTTGTGGCAGCCAGGAAGCAGTGAGAGAACAAGGAAGGGGCCAGCAACAAGATATAGTCAGTTTCCAAGGACATTCCCCGAGGGACCCACTCTTTCTAACATGCCCTACCTGCTTACAATTATCACCCATTAGTCCAAATTATTAATCCATTCAGTGAATTAATCCACTGATGAGGCTAACCATCACAAACCAGTCATTTTCTAAAAGCCCACCTCTGAACACTGAGGTATTGTCTTCAACACATGAGCTTTTGGAGGACATTCCAGATCTAAACCATAACACCCTGATTTATAGCATTTGCAAAGATCTTTGGTATAAGTGCCCCCACCGTGGATTATGTCAAGCTACCCATGTGATATCTCTCACCACAGAATTGGGAAGAGACAGGCACAGTTGGCTCTCATGAGTCTGTACAAATGGCTCCAGCAATCCATTGCCTCCAGGCCTTGTCCTTGAGAGCTCTATCAGCTTCCATGTTTGCTTTCTTGGAACCTAGCCGACATGAAGGATCCTTGGGCAAGACTCCTGAATGATGAGAGGCCAAATGGAAAGAAAGACCATGTGGAGAAGAAAGGAAGCCTTCAGTGTTCCAGCCCCAGCTAGGCTCCCAGCTGAGTGCAGCTGCATGAGTGACCCCAGCCAACATCACATGAAGCAGAAGACTGCCTCATCGACTCACAGGAATGTGCGAAATAAGAAGTTGCTGTGGATGGAATCCATTACATTTTGGATTAGTTTATTAATCAGCAATAGACAACTGAAACACATATATAGATGTCATCGTTTTTAAAAGCTGCATTGTTTTGTTACCATGGGAGATGTATGAGATACATTTTCTTTGTATACCAATCCAAACTGCATTATCATCACCAGTTCAAGCTTTAAAAAACTGTTTGCATTTCCTTGAAAATGAATTTGAACATTTTCATATGCTTATAAGCCATAAATTGACTATACTCTTCATCCACTCTTCTTGATTTATAAGGGCTTTTGTATTTTGATAATAATAATAGCATATCAAGAATATTTTGTAGCCAGGTGCAGTGGCACATACCGATAGATCCCATGGCTTGGTCCCATGGCTTGGGAGGCAGAGGCAAGAAGATCACAAGTTCAGCTCCAGCCTCAGCAACTTAGTGAAACCCTGTTTCAAAACAAAAAAATAAAAGGGCCTAGGGCTGGGGATATTGCTCAGAAGAGTGCCCCTGGATTCAATTCCAACATAAAAAAAAAAAAAGATATTTTACAATATAGATGACTACATAGTTGTACGTGTTTAGTTTTTTTTTTTTTTGCAGCAATAAGTTTAAACTATATAAAACATGTGCTCACCAAGCAATATTTCACATTTTTTTAAACTTGATCATATCCAGTTTTGGGATTGTTTATTCATTTTAAGTATTCCTTATGTTATTCTGAATGTTTTCCCTGGATTTTCTCTGCTATGATTTTCTTCAAATGAAATCTTCCCCTGAAACCCAGTTCAAAATACTCCCCCTCTGTTTCACCTGCCATTCCAATTTGAATACACCTGGCTTAGGACCACGGCAGGAGGTTAATTCTTCAGCTATTCTTGTGTTAAAAACCTACGGAAAGTCTTTGGATACAAAGTACATGTACATTTCATATCAATTTATACCTTGCAAATTTGAAACAGCATGATATAAAAATGTTACTAGTTTGTATAATTTTTCAAATAGCATGAATCCTCCCCAAATTAAAAAGTACTTAATATTAGATTAGATTCTAAAACAATAACAACAACAACAAAACAACAACAACAAAAGGCACAGTGGAAAAACTAATGAAACCTAAATAAAACCTTTTGAGTTCAGTCAGTTAATAGTATCAATGTTGGTTTCTAAGTTTTGACAAATGTACCTTGGTAATGTCAACAACAGAAGAAACTGGGTGTAAAAAGTATATGAAATCTTTCCATGCTATTTTTTTTTGTACTGGGGATCAAACTCAGGGGCACTCAAACACTGAGCCATATCCCCAGACCTATATTGTATTTTATTTAGAGACAGGGTCTCACAGAGTTGCTCAGCACCTCGCTGTTGCTGAGGCTGGCTTTGAACTCTCAATCCTCTTGCCTCAGCCTCTTGAGCCAGTGGAATTACAGGTGTGCACCACTGTGTCCGACTCTTCTATACTATCTTTGCAACTTTCCCCTAAGTTTAAAATTCTTCCCAGATGAAAATTATTTTACTCTGTGTTGTGTTGCTGCAATAACAGAACTCCTGATGCTGGTTAACACATAAAGGAAAGAGGTTTTGTTGGCTCATGATTCTGTCAAGCTGGAAAGTTCCAATAGCAGGGCACTTGCAAAGGCCCCCTGACTGTGTTAGAACATGTTGAAGAGGCAGAAGAGGAAGCACATAGAGTGGTCTCACTTTATAACAACTGTAGGTGTGACTAGCCCAGTCCCACCAATGCAAGAACTCAACTCTAGCAAGAAAAGCATTAATCCCTCTTAGAGGCCCCAGTATCACCACATTGGGGACCAAGCCTCAGATTGAGTTTTGGTGAGCAAAAAAGGGTATTCAAGCTATAGCAGTTTATTATTTTTTTTAAGTATTCAAACATTTGTTCTAGGAAATGCCACACAATGTTATAGGTTTATATGTTGTGAGAATGCTATTCCTTGCATTATATTTATTCCTCTGGAGGAAGAAACTGTGTAGAATTTAGGCTAGTTTTGAATTTTATGAGGTTCACAGGGCCTTACACCATGAATATAATTTATTGCCATCTAAATATATCATTCACATCCCATTTTGAAAGCTCAAAAAGGAATAACTGAAGATATAAGCCTCAATGTTAAGCTGAAAGAAATCCTTCTTTCCAGTAAAAATCAAAAGCCAAATCGAAACTCTCCCTTCCAGCTCCTGATACCAGAATTGTGGCAGTAAAACCTTATTGCCCTACAGAGATCTTTGGACAAGTGTATGATTAGAGATCTAGCTCTAAGTGTGGAATGTGGAGTCAAGGTCCCTAGGTAGGAATTTTGTCTACTTCCATGAGGCAGTAGCATAAGTGCTTGAATCCAAATCCTATAGGCACATCTATAAATCTTTATTAGAAATTTGGCTTTTGCCCAGACAGTTGGTAAGGGGTTTTCCCGTCAAGACTTTGTGTTCTTTCCCACCATAACAAATGTCTTGGGAGTTGGGGGTGGGGGCAACTGGTTTTTCATCATCTTGCATTCCTCTGTAGGTTTCTTTGCAGATAAATTTATCTTTTTATGGGTTTTGCAGCTGTAAAAGAAATCCTGATGATTTAAATTCTGAGTGTTTCTGGCTTTACAATTTCTACTGTTTTCTTGTTAGGGTATTTATCTTGAAATACTATAATGTAACCCCTCGTGCCTCATTTCTTATTATGCCTCTGATATTAAGTGGCTTTTGAGTAAACAGTACAGTTACATTTCCCACTAATTTGAATTAGCAAATTTAAAATAGGGAGAGATGAAAAATATTATTAAAGTCTCTTTTTAGGCACACAAGTTGAAATAAGGTAAATTCATCATACTAAAATTTGTTTATTTTACATTTAAAACTAAATTTAGTGTCAGATATGTTATACAGTGGCCTAGGTCTATGTGCATCGCACCTACTATTTCTTATATTACATCTATTCTTAAGGGAAAAACCTACCTGAAATTGTGCATGTGTGGGGTTTTGCAAGGTTTTTCAGAAGCCCCTCCCAGACTGGTTCTCAAGTAGCTGTGATGATCCAGCTGCCCCAATGGGGATCTGTTTCATTTTTTCCTCTAACGTGATTGCTAAAAGTTATTATAAAAGTTTATTGATGGCTTACTCCTGTGCCAGTTACCTTGTTGAATAATTATATTCAACAAACCCATTACACCTATGAGGCAGGTGTTATTAATTTTATTTCCAATCCACAAATAAAAAATCTAATGCTTATTAAATTTAAGTAACTGGTATCCAAGGGATTATCTTTGGATTTAGGACCAGAGTAAAGATTTGTTTCTCTGTAAATTTCAAGATTTTTGCTAACCAATTCTGCATAAAATATTTACCATACTAACCTCAGTGATGTTGGCCCTGCGGAAAGGTAGGTAAATCTCTCTGCTTCTGTGATGAGGACCTTCCAAGGTTAAGCTTTGGTTGGCTTCTTAGTTCCTAGGTCACTCACCTGCCTTTAGGAAAGCAGCCCAGCTGCATGGAGGTGGGGGACAGTCACTCTCCTCTGTAGTGGCTCAGGATTGGAGGAGCACTTTAACATTTGTTTGCTTGCTTGTTTGTGCTTGTTTCTTTTGGTGTTGAAACTTTTCCACATCAACTGATGGAAATGGATCCAAGTGTTTTTCTAAGGCATGCTGTGTATACTTCTTTAAACAACAGTGCTTCCAAATAGCATTTCCTTCTTTCTAGGATATGATTGACTAAAAAATAAAAATGGGGGAGCTAGAGAGAAATAAGAAAAAGAAGTGAAGGATCTCATGAAAATAAAAGAGAGACTAGCAAAGGAAGGGGACCAGGGGGAGGAGGAAGGGAGGAAAAAGGAAGTACTGGGGAATGAAAATGACAAATTATACTGTGTTCATGTATGAATATACAACAACAAATCCCACTATTATGTATAATTATAATGCACCAATAAAATTTCTTTTAATGTTGGGAGGCATAGGGTGTCCTGAGGTGCTTATTTGTTTGTTTGTTTTACATACCCTTTTTCTTTTTGAGTTTTAAAACACAGTAAATCTAATCACAGAGACAGTTTGGCTCCAGCTCCTGTGAGGCATTCCATAGCTTATGATGTAATTTCCCTCTCTTAATCCTTCAATTCAGGGAAAAAAGAGTTGCCCCAGGGTAGGCAAGAAACTAAATCTTTTTAATGTTTTCCAATCTTTGGGAGCAGTTAAACACCTGGAATGAAGCAACATGTGTCCAGCTGGAATTGAGACTTTCATACTCTACTCCGTGTACATTTTCTGTTTATAAAGGTGTAATCATGTTCATAAATAACTATTAACCAAAAACCTAAAGCCATGCTCCATTACTAATCTTTTCAAGATCTTCATTATTGCCTTTCATTAATAATTCATTCTGTCATCCCCACTAAGTGAGCCTGATGAAGGCAGAGACTTTCTCATAGGAGGCTGCCAGAAACATAGCAAGTATTCAATTTATTTTCAATAAATGAATTATCAATTAATAATTGCAACTTCATTAAAGTAGCTTCCAGTAAAATTGAAGGAAAGAAGAGAATAATTAAGTAGAAGGAGCACCAAGGAGGAGTCTGGAGAGTGGGGTTCTGCTTTCAGCTTTGCCCTCAACTGGTGAAGGAGGTAACCTTGGGCAAGTCCCTTAATATCTCTAAAAAGTCTTTTCTCCTCTGAAGTCTGTGTTCTGATTCAAGTTCTTAGATAATGGCCTATGCTTTGTCATCATTTCTGAGTAATTCTGATTCAAGATTCTTACAGATTTAGTTGATGAAATACTAAGATATATACATTTAAACGATCTATACCTCATGCCATAGATTGTACATTAGTATATTTCTTTCTTTCTTTCTTTCTTTTTTTCAGAACTCTCTTTGGTTTTATTTACCAAATGGGATCGACTTTGTCTTGTTGTTGCTGTTTTGGGGATTGAATCCAGGAGTGCTCTGCCACTGAGCTATAACCCCAGCCCTCCTCCTCCTCTTCCTCTTCCTCTTCCTGCTCTTCTTCCTTCTGCTCCTCCATCTCCTCCTTTTCTTCCCCTTCCCCTCCCCCTTCCCCTTTGGCTTACCCTTCTTTTAAATTTTGATACAGGGTCTTGCTAAATTGCTCAAGTTGGCTTCAAATTTGCTATTCTCTTGCCTCAGCACCCTGAGTAGCTGGGAGTACACCATTGTACCCAGCTACATTAGTATATTTCTTAACTAAAATGTTAGGGTTCGAGAAGTATACCGTAGCTTTAGCAACGATTACATTTTTGATTTATATTTTATCAAAATAACTCATTACATAAAATAATAGCACTTTCTTTTCTTTTTTTTTTTTTAAATATATGCATTTAATTTCTTTGACCATTTTCTTTAAATATTTTTTTTTTAAGAGAGAGTGGGGGGGGAGAGAGAGAGAGAGAGAGAGAATTCTCTTAATATTTATTTTTTAGTTCTCGGCGGACACATCATCTTTGTTTTTTGTATGTGGTGCTGAGGATTGAACCCGGGCCGCACGCATGCGAGGCGAGCGCGCTACCGCTGAGCCACATCCCCAGCCCAATAGCACTTTCTTTTGTCCTAAATATTTCCTTGGGAGCATACATAGTTATTCTTGTACCTATGTATCTATTTTAAACAATTTCACATTATTCATTTACTAATTTAAAGGCTGCTTTTCTTAGGGGAGGGTCACTGTTATTGGGAGAGTTCGCCCAGAGGGAGAGGATTCACAAGATTCGCCCCTTCCCCCAGAAATCAAAGAAGCCAACCAAGATTCAGCCTACCTATCTAGCACTGGAATCTCACTTGTTCAGTACCAGAGGAGAGATAAGGTCCCCACTGGGAGTCAGCCTTTTCTTATCTTCATTATCACCTGAAAATGCTAAAGACACAGGACAAGTTGGATCCTGCTGTGTGAGAGGCCCAAGAGTGTTTGCTCTAAATGTGGAAGGTGAGGTAACTGATAGCTCTTGATCTCTGGAACTCCAATTTCATGTTTATTCAACATGGGCATTCCTAGGAAAGCAGAAAACTCCTGTGCACACACTCCGACACAAAACTGACATTGTTTCTGTAATATAATGTCTATCTTAACTATTTAAATACAGCTGAAACCATCTGATATTTTTGTATTCTATTTCATTTTTCAAAATATTCTGGTTATGAGTCACTAAGTTAGTTTCATGATCCTCTCTAGAGGTTTGAGAGAGAAAAAAAAATCAGCAAAACAAAAAACCATTACCTTAGACATGATTTCAGGGAATTCAAAGAGAAACTCCACTCTCAGCAACACAGAGAACATACAGAAAACTTAGCATAAAAAATTCTGTGACTTTCAACAAACAGTGCTGAGACAACTGGATGCCCAAACTCAATAGAATGAAGTTGGACCCCCTACCATCTCTCCATCTCCAACCCTCAAAATGGTTGAAGATTTAAATGTGTAAGAGGTAAAATAGTCACGAATCTTTATGATTTTGTATTAAGTAGTGCTTAGATAAGATGCTTAAATCACAAATAACAAGAGAAAAACTTAATAAAAATGTAAAATTTTAGTGCTTCAAAGGACTCCACAAAGAAAGTAAAAAAAAAAAAAAGATAACGTATATCAGATAAGGGATATGTATTGAGAATATATAAAGAACTCTTAGAACTCAATAGTAAAAAAGACAGCTCAATTAAAAAGTGAACCAACATCTAAACATGCACTTCAAACATTCTCTAGTATTTAGAGAAAGATTGAGGGAGGGACGGAGGAAGGGAGGGAAGAAAGAGGGAAGGAGAAAGGACCTTGGGTCAATTTCCAGAATCCACAGAATCTCCAAGCCTTGGAGTAAGAGGGGACCTTGATTCAATTCCTTCACTGAATAAGGGAAACAGACAAAGTCCCACGAGGTATAGTGACTTTCTCAAGATCACGTGTCCAGTTTGAAAAGAGATAGGGTTAGGACAATTCAAGTTTTAAAGAACTTATGAAATATTATTATAAAATAAGAGAAACATACAGAGAACAGAATAATAAAGAAGCAGGAATTAGGAGGATGTTAAAAACACAGACTATATATTTGCCACGATGACCTTTGCCTTTTGGACACAGGCATGGATTTTGAAGTATTGTGAAATAGTGCTTAGGGTCAGAATAATCCTGTGGGTGTTAGGTTAGAATCCCTGCAGGAGTTCTGAGGGGACTGATTTTTTTTTTTTTTTAATGATGATTCAAAATACTCAACATTCTGTTAGTGCCCCCTGCAGTTCTCTTTAGAATCAAATTAATGTGGAATGGTTCCTTCTTTGTGTAAACCCCCACCCCCTTCACTTCCTCAATAAACCACTTCCTTCCTGCATTTCCCTACTACCAATAGAGACCTGTTGTTCTCATTTCATATTATGGGAGAAAGTCCACTCTGCAGGATTACCTCCTCCCTTCCTCCTTGCTATATATTGGTATCTATAAAAATTTATATATTTTTGAAGACTATTTAGAAAATACACCAAAAATTTTAAATCACCTTTAATCACACTACTTAGATAAAAAGACCAGTAATATTTTGATATATTTCAGTTCAGTCTTTGGGGTATTTTTTTTTTGTACACACACACACACACACACACACACTTTTTAAAAAATAATTGGGCCAAATTATACATGTTATGTTATCTCTTGATATTTTTACCATTATCATTTTCCTATGTCATAAATCAATCTTCTATAATATTATTTCAATTACTTCAAGTATTCTATTGTAAAAGTATCACAATGTATTTAAATCATTCACTAATCTTGGGTATTTTTGTTGCCTCCAATTTTTACCTAACATATTTTTTCAAAAAACCCCACATTGAACATCATTGGACCTAAAGCTGCACATTATCACTGGAGATTGTCTACTTGGGATAAATTTCTAGAAACAAGTCAAAGGTAATCACATAATTAAGCACACATAGGTAAGTACATAATTAAGAGTTTTTATATATACTGTCAAATTGTAATCCAGAAAGGTTGTGGGGAGAAAAGCAAAGTGTTGATGTGTGTTTGTGTATATAATTTGCATGTATATGTGTATGTGTTTTTTTTTTTTTTTTTGTACATGTTTCATCCAGTAGGGTGGAATACTACTTAGTTTAGGTCACTATATTAGAGTATCTCTAGTTGCTATAGCAAATAAAAGGTAAGTTTGCAGTGGTTTAAAAGTGTAAAATAAATCATTTTTTGCTCACATAGTTGTCAAATGAGAGTTTTCTGGCTGGGTCTGATTTTTCTCCATGGGGTGATTTAGGGATTTAGGCTCTTGAGTTTTGTGGCTAGGTATTTCCTGGTTCTTTACCAATGTTGTCCCCATGTGATGAGTGTTCAGAAAAGAGGAAAGCATACCAGAGGCACAATGCCACATTCCATTGGCTAGAACTTAGCCATATGGTCAGCCTGGCTGCAAGAGAATATAGGAATGTAATCAGGATGAACTGATACCTTAGCCAGAA